TTTTTTTAAACCTTTTTTACCACCTATATCTGAAACCCACAGTAAACATGAAAATTTAACCTGAAGATTTTATTTTCTGCTTCTCAAGAACCAAATAATAACTAAACCACTTTGCACCAATCTCGAGCAGGGTCATTACTAAATGTCACTTACCAACTAAATTTGACTTAGCACAGATATCACAAAGAGAACGTCTGAAAAGCAGCACAGGATAAAAGGATAAAGCTCCACATGTCTGCCAGGGTTTTCTGCCTATACCTGTATGATATTATGGGACAGAAAGAAAATGGAATAGAAATGTTCTCAGAAATGTACTAGGACCAGAGACATAGCTGGAAAAGGCAAGAGTGGAGCTAATAGAGAAATGTATTGATCAACTGCCACAAGACAAGGAAGGGGGATGAGACAAAGAAAGGGCTTGACTTCAAATGGGGTGGCCATATCACTACTAGGGAGAAAGATGATTCAGGCTTGAAGATGGTGAGGGTGAAAATGTTTCTTTAGAAGGTGAATCTCAGACAGCAAATGACCAACTATAGGAAGAGTTAAATGCCCTGTTGATAGGCACCTTCATGGCAGACAAAAATGCAGAGAACCTCTGCCCCAGGACTTAACTGTAAATAAAGGGGATAAATGCAATGAATTTACTGTATCTATGAAGCAGCTAGAGTTTTGAAATTTCTAGGAGTCTTATATACATGGATAGGGGGCATTTTGGGGAAAATTCAGCATGTTACAAAGAAGAAACATGCTATACTTCACACATGGAGACTTTACCTTTGTTCTTTCTTGATTTATTGTTTTCATTAATCTAAATACAGGTAATTCAGTGATGTTGTTTCTCTACAATACCAGAAAATCCAGTTGTGGCTGTTTGTTTTGAGTGACATTATTGCTGCAACTGCACTGTTTTAATTCCTGGCCTTCATAAAACTAAGGCATTGTCTATGCTGGCGGTGGTGTGTTGGGTACGTGTAGCTACACACCACAGTGAAAAGCAGGCTGTGTCTGCACTGCAGTGTGTAACTACACATGGCAGTGAAAGGCTCTGGCAGCGGGACACTTGGTAACCCACACACCTCCTGGGTGTGGTGTTCTGTCCTATCTAGCGGCTCCAAGACCATGTAGAGAGAGAGGGAGAGATTAATGAGTCTGCTCTATAGCTTTAGCTAACAGCTGAATGGTTTTTACCTCATGCGTTAGAGACTCATGCATTTAGCTGCAGAGGTCCCAGGTTCGATCCTGCCTACTGACAACCGGGGTCTGACGGTGTTACAAGTAGGGGCTCATCTGGGATATCAACTGGGAAGTCTCTGAAGCTTGGGGTACACTTCCTCAGCTAGGCGAAGTATGTAATCCACACACCTCCTGGGTGTGGTGTTCTGTCCCATCGAGTGACACTGAGACCACATAGAGAGAGAGATTAATGAGGCTGCTCTACAGCCTTAGTTAACAGCTATGTGGTTTTTAGTTCATGTAGTAGAGGCTCATGCATTTTGCTGCAGAGGTCCCAGGTTCGATCCCATCCAGTGATGACTGGGGTCTGTCGGTGTTACAACTTCACTGCTAAAAGTAGCAGTGCAGACGTGGGATGAACTTCTTGGGCATGAGGAGAGCCCTGTAAGGACTATATCCTAAGGGTGTGTCGTTACTCGACTAAACAGTGCCTCACTGACCACACATCTATTTATACCCGTTCTAGCTGGGCATGAAATGAATGTACTCACTACCATGAGTACAGAAATAGCCTAAGTGTTTGTGAAAGCCAAATATCTGTCAAACTTTGGTCACTACCTGCAGATCAATGCATTCTGCACTCTCAGAAACTACCTCCAGAACGTATTTTGATTATATTAAAAATCTCTATTTAGTTGCTCTCATCTGCGGACTCCTCTTGTCTTTTGGTTAACAGTTTAATTTTGTTTCTTTGTAGCAATTCAGGAAATACAGGAGAAATTTGGTAAGTGTTTCATTGGAATAGTTTCAAGCAGCTCTAGTCTTTAGTTTAGCATCCTCCTGGTAACAGAGACATCCCAGCCTACTGGCCCATTGGTGGTGGCCAGCCCCCAGCTTCGTCATTTTTTTTCAGGTTTGTTTCCCCCCCTCTGTATTCATAGATACCTTTTGGCTTTGGAATCTATCATTGTGGTCATCTAGTCTGACCTCCTGTATCACATAGGCCAGAGAACTTCCCCAAAACCTTTTCTATAGCAACACTTTTAGAAAAAAATCCACATAGCTCTTTTTATCTCTTTTTCCATAAAGAAGGAAATGCAGTGCAAAACAACCAAAACAAAACACTATATTCATACATCAAAAAAGCTGAGAACTTTAAAGCATGCAAGTCAGCCGGTCAAATCCTAAGGAATCCAGGGCTAGATTTTAAAAGAATATTTACTCTGTAAAGACGCAGATAGGCACCTTGACATTTCTGAAAATCATGCTAAGTGCCTCACTCTCATTGAAACCAAAGGGAATTAGACACCTAAGCTCTTTTCAAAATCCAACTAGGTACCTAGCTGCATCTTTAGGTGCTTAATATCATTACAAATCTGACTCTTACTCTCTTATTACATTATTTTCACTCAGGCAAATTCCCATTGTTTAAATGCAGCATGGACTTCAAGATTTAGCCACTTTTTTTGCATAGTTTAGTTTGTATGAGGATGCCATTGAACATAACATAGTAGATATTCGATTGCAGCTAATATAGCAAAAAGATAAATGTTTAGACCCAATCCTGCAAAGATTTAGACACATGATTAAATTTGAACACACACTGAGTGGTTCCATTTAACACAATGGACTCACGGTGTCTAAAATTAAGCATGAATATAGATTTTTGCAGGTTTGGGGCCTTAGAACCTGACCCTTACTCACATGAGTCCATTTTACTTGAGTAATTCCATGTATGGAGTAAAGATTTCCTACAGAACAGAATTAATAAGGGAATAATGAAGAAGCATGATGTAACCATCTTTTTCCATTTCAGAAAAAGCCATGGCTGAGCTGGGTGAGTTGAAAGACCATGTTTAATATTACACAGCTTGTATTATTTCAATGTAAAATAAGCCATATGCTATAGCTGAAATTCTGAATTCTCTTTTTTTGTTGTAGACTTCAGGAGGGCTCGTAGCAATGCAGGTAAAATGCCTTGTATCTGGAATTATACCCAGGTTATTTTCTCCCAGAAGTTTAATATTTTGATTAAATATTTTTGGTGCCCTGAGTTCTGAAAGGAGGAATAAAGAATGTCTGCTCAAGAGCCCTGAAGAACAAAGTGACTGGGATTTGACTAGGCGCCTAGCTGCAGAAGAAAGGGACAATATTTGTTGATAAAAGAATTGGTGACTGTAGTTGATTGAGACTTTAGGACAAATAGTTTAACAGTTGAAAAAAGGAGTTTCCAGTCTACTGAAACTATTCGCGAATTTGTGTTGAGTTAGCTGAAGAATTTCAACTTCATTGAAAAAGCCAAAATGTTTCATTTCAACCTGAAAAATTTTGTTTAGCTGTGCAGGCATTCTGACAAAAACCAAGGAAAGGAGGACTAGAGTCACAAAATGGCTGATGTGGGAGGTCCTTGTGCCTTTCTTGTAGGCTTTAGCCTAGTGGTTAGGGCACTCAGCAGGGAGGTAGGAGACCTAGGTTCAGTTGCATCCTTTGCTCGTTGAGGATTGTGGATGCAAGCTTGGGTCCCCCATGTTAGAGGAAGGCACCATACCTGCTGGGCTATGGAATGCTGTGGCTTCAATCTCTCCTGTGGTAGCTATTCCACATCTTATAAATAATTAAATAGCAATTAGATGGGGGACTTTAACTTGGGACTCCTAGATCCTAACTACTGGGCTATAGTCGCTCCCACTCTCTTTCCCTGGTCCATTAACACTCCATTGCCATCGTGAATGACTATGAATTGCCATTGTGAAGAAAGTTCTTAGGGCCCAGTGTTCCTGGCATTACACATGTGGGTAACTCTATTGGTATCCATGGATCAGGTGAGTAATGGCAGCAGGATAGGGACCTTCATATTTTGGCTCCCATTCACTTCAAGCCCCTATCTCTAGGTACCTAATGTCACAGTTCAAGGCCACTGCACTTTTATGTCCTCTCCGTTGTTTCTTGAGGACACCCGCTCTAGCAGGCCGGCTCCAGGGTTTTTGCTGCCCAAAGCAGGCAAAAAAAAATAGCCGCGATCGGGATCTGCAGCGGCAATTCGGCGGGAGGTCCTTCGCTCCGAGCGGGAGTGAGGGACCCTCCGCCGAATTGCCGCCGAATAGCTGGACGTGCCGCCCCTCTCGGGAGTCTCTGCACAAGCATGTTGTGGCCCAAGCACCTGCTTGGTAAGCTAGTGCCTGGAGCCGGCCCTGCTCTCTAGGCTCCCAGCTTCTCAGCCATCAACATGCTTGTGCAGAGACCCATGTCTCTCTCCCTCCTGACCAGAGATTTTGTAGATTGCCTACACTGTGTTATTCCCAGCAAGCCAGACTGCCTGAATAGGCCAGCATCTGTGCTTTGCTTTCTCCTTAGAGTCTATGAACAGCTGTAATTGCTCACAGACACAAGTTACCACACAGCTCTTTCTAAGCAAGCACATTTATTCTTAGGGTGAAAGCATTACAGAGACAACATTTAAAACAATAAAAAGACCCTACAAATAGGCTAATAAACTTCCTAGAGGTTACCCCAACTTCAGCCTCCGGCTTTGGTTGGTGATCAGTCATTCAAAATGCACAGGAGTTTTACTGTAGTTACAAATTCAAAACAACCTTAATTAAGAACTAGCACATCCATCCATCTTCTTTATACAGTAGGGGGCTTTGATCATGAGCCTCTGGGAACAGATAACAGAGACCCTGACTCTGGTTGTAGCTTCAAAAACCTAGATTTTTGCATAACCAGAGATGGGAAATTTCCATTCACCTTCCCCTAGAGATTCCCCAGGCAAACCACTTGAACCTGTTTGTCCCAAAAGTCCATTCTTATCTGGCACATTGTTCAGTACAGACCTCTGAAATTCATAACACTTCCCAGGGTTCACCTCACTCTCCCCCCTGTAAAGGTTACATGCAATCCCAGCCCACAATAATACATAATCTTTGCATATAATACAATGGATTCCAAAAATACTTAAACTTAATGCAATAACATTTTTCAAGGATAATGCAGAAAACTGCCATCTCTCTCACATCTTATAACTAGAACTGTGCAGGAAGCCTAATTTTCATTTTAATGGCAAATACTGACATTTAGAGATTTGGTTTTGTCCTGTAATGGAAGAAAGAGTCATATTTAAAAATCTTGTGTGAAATGAATTTTATTTTTTAATTGTTTTGGGTTAGTTGAAACCTTTTGATAAAATATTTCATTTTCATTTTGATTTTTAAAAGTTTTTATTTTATGTTAAAATTTACATTATAAAATGAAATAGATTTTGAAAGGGAAAATTATTTTAAGACAAATATCAAAATATTCCATTATAAAAATGCTGAAATGGAAAGTGCTTTATGGGCTTTTTTTTATTTTCTAAAACAAAATTTCCTCAGAATTGAAGAATTCCACATTCCTGCAGAAAATACAGAGTTTGATAAACCGGCATTTTCGAATGGACAAATATCTTGGACTTTCAGAAAGCTTTTGACAAGGTCCCTCACCACAGGCTATTAAACAAAGTAGACATTCATGGGATAAGATAGAAGGTCCTCTCATAGATCAGTAACTGGTTAAAAGACAGAAAACAAACGGTAGGAATAAATGGTAATTTTTCAGAACGGAGAAAGGTAAATAGTGGTGTCCCCTGTTTATGTACTGGGGTATGTACTGGGACCAGTACTGCTCAACATATTCATAAATGATATGGGAAAAGGGGTAAATAGTGAGATGGCAAAATTTGCAGACAGTACAAAATTACTCAAGTCAGTTAAGTCCAAAGCAGCCTGCAAAGAGTTACAAAGGAATCTCACAAAACTGGGTGACTGGGCAATAAAATGGCAGATGAAATTCAATGTTGATAAATGCAAAGTAATGCACAATGGAAAACATAGTCCCAACTATACATACAAAATGATGGGATCTAAATTAGCGGTTATCATTTAAGAAAGAGATCTTGGACTCATTATGGATTGGTTTCTGAATACATCCACTCAATGTGCAGAATGTTAGGAACCATTAGGAAAGGGATAAGACAGAAAATATCATAATGCCACTATATAAATGCCTACTATGCCCACACCTTGAATGCTATGTGCAGTTCTGGTCACCCCATCTCAAAAAAGATATATTAGAATTAGAAAAGGTACAGAGAAGGGCAACAAAAATGATCAGGACTATGGAACAACTTCCATGTGAGGAGAGATTAAAAAGACTGGGATTTTTCAGCATGGAAAAGAGAAGACTAAGAAGGGATATAATAAAGGTCTATAAACTTGTGACTGACTGCTGTGGAGAAAGTGAATAAGGAAGTGTTATTTACTCCTTCACATAAGACAAATACCAGGGGTCACTCTATGAAATTAATAGGCAGCAGGTTTAAAAGAAACAAAATGAAGTACTTCTTCACACATAATGCACAGTCAATCCATGAAACTCATTGCCAGGGGATGTTGTGAATGCCAAAACTATAACCAGGTTCAAAAAAGAGCTAGGTAAGTTCATGGAAGATAGGTTCATCAATGACTATTATTCAAGATGGTCAGGAATGGAACCCTATGCTCTGGGTGTCCCTAAACTTCCACCTGCCAGATGCTGGGACTGGATGACAGGAGATGGATCAGACAAAATTGCCCTGTTCTGTTCATTCCCTCTGAAGCATCTGGCATTGGCGACTGCCAGAAGACATGATACTGGGCTAGATGGACCATTGGTCTGACCCATTATAACTGTTCTTATGAGATCAGAGATTTCTTTACTCCGTGTCCATGGCTTTTACCATGGGAGGAGATGATTTGGGCCAGGAGTGTTAGTTAATTCAAGCTATAACTAGCCAGGGGTGTATGTGCCCTTGCTATTACGTATATTAATACATATATTACATATGCTCTTGTTCTGAGCAGTTGTGGTGCATTTTGCTGAGATATTAAATATTTTGTTTGTCTCTCTACTGTGTCTTTAATTTTCTTTACCAGCTTTGATATTTGTTTGTTTCTTTCAATGAGAGTTAATAAGTCTCTAGTTACTGATGAAATGAACATTTTTATTCTTCCCTCTAGTTAACATCACTCTGGATTCTGACTGTAAACATCCCAAACTCTCACTCAAGGATAAAAATAGGGTCATTTCCACTGCAGAGAAGAAAGTCGGCAGGGATTTGATAGTGGTGGCAAATGAAGGATTTTCAGAGAAGAAACAATACTGGGAGGTGGAGGTGGAGGAGAAGCCAGAGTGGGAGCTAGGGGTGCTGAGTCAGAATGAAAGGCAGAAACTGAAAAATGAGAAGATGGAGAAACCTCCTGAGAAGGAATACTGGAGTTTGCGGCTGTCTGAGGGTCGATATCATTGTAGTTGGAAAAGTGACACAATCACCTCTGAGGATAAAAAATGCCAAGTGGTTGGCATTTTTCTCGATTGGGAAGAGGGAATGATCTCATTCTACAATGTAGAGCTAATGTGCCCTGTTGTGTCCATCACTCAAGAGTTTAAAGGAAAATTGTACCCATTCTTCAATCCTGGCAATGATAAACAATACCTAGGAATACGCCCTGTCAGTGTCCCCAGCCCCTTAACTTCTCTCTGAAATCAAACATCAGATCTAATAGGGGAATTTTAAATTCACTCCATCTGAGGAGCCAGGAAACTTGAACCACTATAGAAGAAAGGGAAGGGTTTAATTAGTTAATATAGAATCTGAGAGAGAGAAAGGGGGAATGGTACAATTTTGATATTTTTGAAGATGGCCTAAAGGCCGAAACAGATACTTCATAGCCCCTGACCCAGACAAGTTGCCAATGAAATGACCTGAGTAAAAACTACGACTGGTCAAATGGACCAATAATTTTTCAGTAAATGTTGACTTGAATAAAGGAGGGCTGTGCTTTTGTCCATTTTGTGTTCACTTTCATCAGGTATCTAGTGAACTAATTTACTATCAGCAATGTTCGTGGAAATGATAAAGTGTAAGCAAAGATGACAGAATATTGGTGGAAAGCAAATTTTGAATGAGTAAATGCAAGTATTCACACCAGAAACCTGATGCCAAATGATATGATCATCTAGGACACAATGTAGGAAAGGCCATCCCTCTTCAGCAAAGTTTAAGATTATACTTAAGTTCCTTAGACTTTAATGAACCCTAGTGCTTTGCAGAATATGGATGGTTTGCTGAACCCGGGACCCAATCAAGACAGAATTCTTATCCATCCAAACAATTCTAACCAGGGCAGCTCAAATATCAAATGTCAGTTACTCACATTGAATAGCTCCCAGCCAAGAATTGTTTTGTTGCAATTATTTGGAAAATAACTCTGAATAGTTAATATGTTTGTGAAAAGAGAGAAATGCTCACAGATAATTCACCAACAGAGAAAGATACAAATATGTTACCTTCTGTGCATAATTTGCTTAGCACTACTACAGACATTCAAAACTGAGCACTATCTTCACAGCGGTGGTTCTACCCCTGCCGTGGTTCTGGCCCTTTTCAACCCAGAATGTGTTCTGTCATTCAGAGGGGAATAGGCTGCACCCCGTGTAGGAGTGTAGTTTGGAGTGCTAGACCCCTGAACTCCAGGGAGTCCGCGGAGGCAATCTGCCCCCTTCAGCAGAAAATGACTGAAAATGAAAAAAAAACCATATAATTTATGGTAATTGTTTTAGCAGAAAACATTTGATATTTTGACCGAACTATCAAAATTCTGAAAAATGAATATTTCAGCCAAAAGCTGCTGACGGATGAATATTTTTGGCCACAAACTGTGAAATCTTTGGGTTTTCTATGATTGGTCAGCACTTCTCCCAGCATTCCCTCTGGAATTTTGCAGCCCTGCATTTCCCCTGTCTATACATGTGTGCATTGCATAATCAAGACTTGGTGGGAAAGAAGAGACCCTAACCTCCCCTCCTTGCTTAGCAGCAAAATAGAGCTCAGCATCTAGACCTGTATTTGCATTTCGGGAGGAATGCATTAGACAGGGGTTTCCAAAGGTACTTAAGGGATTTAGGCATCCAAATCACATTGAATTGGGTGCCAAATTTCCATAGGATCCCCATCAAAATCCCAGCTTTCATGACTGCTCTTTCCTTTCTGTGCCTTAAAATAAAGATTTCCATCTGATACCAATCCTTTCCCAACAAAGTGTGTTAAAAGAAAATACTAGAAAGAACCAAATTTAACGATAGCTGAAACAGTTTAGTCCATTTAATTGGAGTGATTTTAAACCAGGTTGGTTGCTGTATTAGAAGCTCTATCAGGGCATCCTGGAAGGGTTATATAGGGATAAATTCTGCTTAATAGAGACACAAGTACCAAAAATTCTGCTGAAGAGGATGCATTCACCCACTGCTGAGAAGAAATGAGTTATTTTACATGTTGTGAAAGTTGACCTTTTTTTTCTTGAAGAAGCAAACTGATAAAATAAAAAAAAATTAAAATAAATCAGTGTTTCATTTCTTAATAGCTTATTCTGACAGCTGTTTTCATAAATGGCCCATTGTTATTCTGGACAGCTGGTTAATTAGGGGAATAAATGCAATGTCCACCAGGATGTCTCACTTATAATGGGATTTTATATAAATCTAGGGCTTTAGTATACTTGCTTGAAATATTTCCAACTGTCATGTAATCCTATTTCTGACCATCCCGAATGTAATAAAAGATAAGCAAAATCTGAACAACAGGTGACTATTTGCCCCCTTTGGGAGTCCGATTCTGCTGTCTAATTGATGAGAATGAAGAATCACAGTATCTTGCAGCACTGGCCATTAAATGGTCAACTAAAGATGATGTCCAGCAATACATAACCTTCTCTACCTATACAGCCTCCTCCCCATAATAGAATTTAATGCCAAGATATTATCTGATTCTGCAACTCTTATTCATTGTCAAGTCCTATTATAAAGCCCTTGTATGAAATACAGGTTCAAAGTCTGAGAAATGACTCTTTAAAAATGGCCAGACTCCATATTTAATATCTCTCACTGACTAGTGCAAATGTGTTCTGTCTGCAAGTAACCAGGTGCTCTGCAAACTCAGCATGAACTCTGAAAGTCAAGCTGGGCTCTTGCTGTTTCATGAATCATTGGCAACAAATATTTTCACTCAAAATTCAGGTAATAGTTCTGTTGCTGATGCATGAGCCAGAAAAAAATCCAACTCAAAATGTACATGTTAAATTTATCTTAGAAATCAAATGGCAGGCTGTTAGGTCACAGAACACAGGTGCTTCTGGCATAAAATCCTACTTAATAGGCAGCACACTAATGTCTGTATTAGCTGCAGTAATTACAGAATTATTATTATAAAACATTCTCTACATCATAGTGTCCCACCTGCTAACTGGTACAGAGGCCAGTAGATGGGAAAATATGACTTGATCACAGTCTTCAAGTATATACATGAGAATAAGATTTCTGATAGTAGAGGGCTCCTTAATTTAGGATTAAAAAATCATGAGATCTATAGCCTGGAATCTGAAGATGGACAAATTCAGAATAGAAATAAGGTGCATGTTTTTAACAGAGAGGGTAGTTAACACTTGGAACAAATTACCTAGGAATGTGATGATTTTTCCATCACTAAAATGAGACTGGATGTCTTTCTCAAAGAGATGCTATAGCTCCACCAGAAGTTATCAGCTTGATGCAAACATTGCTGGGAGAGGTCCTCTGGGCTTTCATGCAGATCAGAGTAGATGATCTCCATAAACGCTTATGACCTTGAAATGTAGAAATTTGCAGGTAGCCTTACCTGAGTAAGGGTATAGCGGGAGTTCCTGCTGAGGGACTAGTTTGTCTTTAAGGATTAGGGAACCCTTCCCTCCATCTTTTGCTGGATAGTTAGTGACACTTTGACTGCACCCTGGACTTGGAAAGTAAGAGGTGGGAAGTGGTTCAGGGAAGCAGCCTCAGGGCACTCCTTGGTGTTACTTCGACTCCTAGAGCTCTGGATTGGAGCCTGCTGGAGAGGGAGGGCCCAGGCTATCATACCAGGCAGCTGTAAGCAGCTCTCCCTGCCCCCTTAGATAAGGGGAATAAGGACACTGGAAGCCCTGAGACAAGAGTGTGAGGGAGTACTGCCACTCAAACAGATCTGTGGGGGGGCCCCCTAGATGCTGGGACATTTCCATGGTTGCAGAGCCAAGGCTTAACCACCTCTGAGGGCTCACTCATCCTTATCCTTATGGGGGAGGTTGTGCATTAAGACAATTCATCATTGCCCTGTACATCGTGTAGTAACGTACACCTGTGTACAAATCTTGGGGATCTGTGGATTCTGGGAACCAGGAGGGGGTAGGATGCAATCTACACTCTCTCTCTCTCTCTCTCTCTCTCTGATGGCATTTTCTTTCATTTACCTTCAGTCCCCTCCCTCACACGTTTCCTGAGTGCTTGTTCAGACATTTGCCTTTTGCCCACACCTGCTTTTTATAGTCCAATGGATTTTGGTGAGCTTATTTGTGCCTGCTGAGAGAGTTCTGAGGTGCGTACACAAATCTGCTGTGTGTGAATATAATTTATAATCCAGATAAGTGATTTTTAAAATATGTTTCTTATATTTACTGTAGATTTGGGATTTTTAAAAGTTACTTCTTGTTTATGAATAACTGGAATGACTGAGATTAAAGTTTAGATGCACTGCAGGGATGTTTTCATAACTGAAGCTATGAAAAAATTGCAGTTCATTCATAAAACAGTGGCATATAATCAGAAGAAGTTTTGTGCAAATACAGAGTTTGGACTAACATTTATCTGTATTAATTGGATCATGCCGAGTGTGTAGATGAGAGTAATAGATGCTAATCTCCTTGTCAAATAACCTTTGATTTAGTGTTGTAATGCTAAGGGGAGGTAGGAACTCACTATTTTATTTTATTTTTTTCAAAAGAGGAAAGTTGTAACCAAAACCACTCTCCTTTTGCTATTGGAGCCTTAAGCCAGGAATCTGCTCTGAGGGATCTGTGGGGATGGCAGAACTAGACATGTCTTTAGAGCTCTCAAATACAAAATGGACTTTCATTCTTAACAATAGATTATTGCATCAGAAAGTATATCTTGGTGTAAAATATACTAGGCTACTACATGTGCATGGGATGGGCAGGCAGTTGGTGAAAAGAAAAGAAAAAGGAATAAAAAGGGGCTTGTGAATTTTTCTTCTTGTCTTGTGTTTAACTGGAGGTGCTTCAGAGGAGAAGATGCATATTTCACAGGATTAACAGCATTGCTCTGCTGGTAATTGGCTGTTGTCTTTGGAGTTTAAAGGGGGAAGAAATTGGGAAAACAAACAAATGAAAAAAAAAAACCTTACTACTTATTTGGGGTCAGTTGGATTATAAAGTGTATATAAGAAAGCTTTAAAAGAGACTGAAGATCAGAGTTGGTCAAACTCCCCATTTTTTTCCTATAGGAAATTTTGAACAAATACATTTCATTTTAAATGTTTTGATTTTTTCATGGAAAAAAATCAGAATGAAATAAAATGAATTTGTTCAATTTGTAAAGAACATTTTTCAATCTGAGGTTTCAGGCACCACAACATTCAATTTTTGCTTTTTCCTTTTTTCTGAGTTTTGGTTTTCTCATGCTTTCTGTCAGTTTTCTCCTTTTTACATTGTTACATTTCTTTCCTTTTTGGTCTTTCTAACTTTTCCAAAAAAGTTTTGCAAAGTTACAGAGTGCAGAAAAAAAAATGGGGAAAAAAATAAACAAGCAAACAAACCCTAGACCTCACTCCGTCAATCTACTGCATTCAGTGGCAAAAAAGGAGAAAAGAGAGAGAAAGTGGGAGACATAGAAATCCAAATGTTTGATTTTTTAAAGATGTTCTGGTTATTAAGAAATGGAAAATTTCAATTTGAAAGGAAACAAAACAAAATATATATTTATTATCCCTCTTGGTTACATGGGATTTTTTAAAACAATTAGCCTTCACAACATACAAGATTTTTAAGCATAAAAAGGGGAAATTTACTGTCTAAAGTGTATACACGAGTCACCAATAAATTTTGACTGTAAACCGGCTCTGTACTTAGGCACCTGTCTCTTGGAGATGGCAGGGCTCAGCGCACATCGTTCACCTTGGCCTCTCCTATTGGCTCATTTAAACGAGGAGCCACCTAGTGCGTGGGCTTTTGGGAATCTCAATCTAAGGCAACTCCCTCCCTCCATTCCTTGTTTGGGGATCATGTGCGTCAAACTCCGACTTTTGGATTACAGTGATGTTCCAGGTGCCTAACACACACACGTATTCTTCCCCCAGGAGACAGTCACAGTCCCCTTCCCAGTCCCCAGAAATCACTTAATACCCCTTCCCCAAAATCCATTATTGTCTGTTACAACCACACCCCAAAATCACTCACTGTGCCCCACCCACAGAAATCAGCTCCTGCCCCTGCCCCCCCAACAATGCAGTGGCTGCCCTGCCTATCTGCCCCTGACTAGTGCTATCGCTGGTGTCAGGACCAGGGTGCAAATGGCTCTGGGCTGGGATCTCTGCAGGGGGCAGAGGGTCTGGACACCTTCCCACATGGTGGGGGGAGGGTCCTGTTATATATATATATCTATAGAGAGAGAGACCTATCTCCTAGAACTGGAAGGGACCTTGAAAGGTCATCAAGTCCAGCCCCCTGCCTTCACTAGCAGGACCAAGTACTGATTTTTGCCCCAGATCCCTAAGTGGCCCCCCTCAAGGATTGAACTCACAACCCTGGGTTTAGTAGGCCAATGCTCAAACCACTGAGCTATCCCTCCCCCCTATGTCTACATGGTGTCGAGGGTCTGCATGGTGGGGGGGGGAGGGGGAGGAGGCTGTAGTTGGACAGGGGCTGCTGGGTATGAACTGGCCCCCTGCAGCCTGCGGGACTCGGACCAGAGCGACGGGCGGAACAAGTGTGTTTGGGCTGGTTCCGTGGCAGCTGGCAAATGGCAGTTGGTTGGGGGAGGGTCTGATGTCTCAGCCTGGCCCTGGGGTGACTGGGAGAGGGGCTGTTGTCTAAAGCCAGCCCTGGGGGGAGAAGCTAGTATCTCAGCCCAGCCCTTTTACTTTTCACTAATGTCAATATTGTGATCATTGCGTAAAACAGCTTTGCTCATTTTGGGTAACTGGAAATAGGAAGATTGACTGTGCCCGCTCTGACAACACAATTTGATACTATAGCACAGTATGAAGGCATAACATCCTACTGGACGTGACGTGACATATATTGCGGTATGTTCTTGTAACATGGTCAGTGTATTATCTGTGCTGTCTTAGACAAATTTCAATTTTGTTAACCAAGGCTTTTCTACACAAATTCCTCTTGTAGTCTCTTGTGAATGAAGTGTTAAATTCCTGTTCTAGCAGCGTTGTACTTTGTACAAGGAAGTAATTGATATTTGCATTTGTTATGTTTGTGAAGTCTTTGGCATGAAAAATACTGCAGTAGCCATACATAAATTGTTACTACATGGCCTGATTCTTCAAGGCTCACTCATGGGGACTTTCAGGTCTTACTTCTACAATACTCCCTCTTTAAATAGGGTCTTATACAAGATGCATGACTGTCATCTGAGTAGCAATTGAGTCAGTATTTTGGGGTGGGAAGCAAATTTACAAGACAATATAAGGTGAGGTTGAAGTTGAATTTTTTCCTTTGAAATGACTTTTGTGTTTGTGAAACGTTCTCATTTGAGCTTAGGCGCTGACTCTGTGGGTACTGCAGGGCTCAAGCACCCACGGAAAAAAAATAGGGGGTGCTCAGCACCCAAGGACCATGGCCCTGCTTGCACTCTGTCCCGAGGCCCTGGTCCCACTGGGCCTCTTCTTCCATGACCCCATCAGTGCTGTGCCTCTTTCTGCCCCTGCTCTACCTCTTCTCCCGAGGTCCCCACCGCTCGCTCCTCTCTGCCCCTCCTCCATCACTCGCCCTTAAGGCAGAAGGGGGCAGAAAGTAGCGAGTGGGAGGTGCTCAGGGGAGGGGGCGGAGAGGAGTGAGTGGTGGGGGGGGCTTGGTGTAGGGGACAGGGCAGGGGCAGGGCAGGGGCAGGAAGAGGCGGAGTGAGGACAGGGCCACTGGGGAAGAGACTGAGTGGGAGCGGGGCCTCGAGGCAGAGCACCTACCAGCAAAATCAAAAATCAGTGCCTGTGCATTTGAGATCAATGGAGACTAAATTCCTTTATAATATCTGAATAGAAATAGTAAAAGTAGAAGCACAAATTCCCCAACCGAGATCTAGAGAGACCACTTTGGGGAATGTTATGTCATGTTTATATAAGCCCTGTACTGTAAAGGACCAGGTTACTACTAATTTGCTTTTTTACTTTTTCATGGGAACATTTTTCTATTAGAAACTTGGCTGGGACAATCAGCATAGCCCAGAAGAGTCATTGAATGGTGCTGAATTTATGTCACCAACAGCTTGGGCTGCTTTTGATCCATGCAGCCACTGACAGGTGAAAGTGTCCTGGGTTAACTAAATATCTTTTCTTCCCTCAATCTGCTTCCACAAAACATAATTTTTGCGTAGTGTTTCACGGTTCAGGAAAGTAGAAGTGACCATGTAAAATGAATGCAGTTTTGCACAGAGATGGCCAAAACTCAAAATTTCCATTCCATTGTAAATTCTGAAATTTTGAAAAAGTTTTTATTTTGATTCAGAAACATAACTGGAAAGTTTGAAATTACTTGCATAAAGGAAATTCCAAAAAACATTTTTTTTTAAATCAAATGGTTTTGATTCAATTTTCCCAATATGAAATAGAGCAGCTGACTGCTCTTAACTCCTGGAGTCACCCTGGGCTTCATGGGGAGTCCCCCAACATTTGGGGAGTCCTCCGATGCAGAGTCGGGGTCATAACTATAAAGGGAAGGGTAACAACCCTCCTGTATACAATACTATAAAATCCCTCCTGGCCAGAGGCACCAAAATCCTTTTACCTGTAAAGGGTTAAGAAGCTCAGGTAACCTGGCTGGCACTTGACCCAAAGGACCAATAAGGGGATAAGATACTTTCAAATCTTCCGGGGGGGGAGGGGGAAGGCTTTTGTTTGTGCTCTTTGTTTTGGTGGTGTTCCATCTTGGGACTAAGAGGGACCGGACATCAATCCATGTTCTCCAAATCTTCTGAACAAATCTCTCATATTTCAAACTTGTAAGTAACAGCCAGGCAAGGCATATTAGTTTATCTTTGTTTTCTCAACTTGTGAATTTTTCCTTTGCTAGAGGGAGGTTTATCTCTGTTTTGTTGTAACTTTGAAACTAAGGCTAGAGGGGGTTCCTCTGGGCTCTTTGAATCTGATTACCCTGTAAAGCTATTTTCCATCCTGATTTTACAGAGATTATTTTTACATATTCTTTTTAATATACTCCTTCTTTTAAGAACCTGACTGATTTTTCCATTGTTCAAATACCCAGGGGTTTGGGTCTTTAATCACTTTGAAACAAATTGGTTAGGATATTATTCTCAAGCCTCCCCAGGAAAGGGGCTGTAAGAGCTTGGGGGGATATTTTGGGGGAAGAGGAACTCCAAGTGGTCCTTTCCCTGTTTCTTGTTAAATCACTTGGTGGTGGCTGCATACCCGGTTTTTAACCTAAGATGGTAGAAATAAGCTTAGGGGGCTTTCATGCGGGTCCCCACATCTGTACCCTAGAGTTCAGAGTGGGGGAGGAACCCTGACAGCAGGGAGCCTGCAAATCCTGAGAACCCTGGGTCCCAGGCCTTGGGGCCGTCTGCATGGCAGTGCCACCCTAGAACCATGGATCCTGGAAGCCCAGACTCTCCTGAAACTGGTGAGGTTTGCTGTTTCCATGAAATATTTTGGTTTTGACAAATCAACATTTTCTGATGCAGCCCCATTGTAGAAGAATTCCTGACTAGCTCTAGTTGTGTGTAAACCTCATGCTACAGTTTGTGATGTTTTCTATTTCACTTGGCAGAGAGTTGGATGGATGATATTGCAATCACTTCACAATGACTGCATGGATCAAATCAATAGCCATCCCATTTGTTTATATCATCGGGAAATGGCTTTGGGGTAAGAACATCATTTTTCCTAACTACTGATCAGGAAACTGCTGCCTGTGTAAACCCTGTGTATGGAAACCAGGATGCAATCTGAAGAGGGACACCCAAACAAAATTTGGGAGCTCTAATGGCATTGAGCTGGGATTAACATCACCGTGTGCTGGAGCCTGTCTACCTCCCTGGTTGTTTTTACATGCTCTCAGGTGTGTGTAAAGTCTCAGTGATCCTGCTTCATTAAGCAGGGAGAGTAACCATACATTGTCTCTGTCTGAACACAATGCTAAAATTCTCATTAGTCACCCTCCTAAACGTATGGAAAAGTACAGAGAGCTGTGATTAGGATGAAAACACAGTGACACTGATGCTTAGATGGGACATTTACCCTGTCCAGGAGTATTGTTTGGAGAAGCCTAAAATAACAGAATGATTGTTAGTATTCCAAAGTGACAGAAAGATTGACACACACACACACACACACACACACACTTCATACAATGGTGGCTAGGTACAATTGCTTTTCCTGCTCTCAGGGACTTCTCCCTCCTACTTCTTACAGAGGCACAAGCCACCCAAAAGGGTTGGGCAGAAAGCAGGACAATAACTAGGCTTAGATTTTTATCAGTAAATGTTGATAAATGTTAATTTCTCTGTATGCACAAAAACTGATGAAAAATATTTCTACCGCTGCAAAATATTCAGAGATACAAAGTAAGAAACTGGAGGCTAAACTTTTGATATATTCTGTTGACAATTGTGTTTTAATGCTTATAAGCTTTAACTTTTTGAATCCCAGAATCTGCTGTCATTAAATAATAGTCTGGCCTGCCCCCATTGTGTGCCCCTCCATAATTTCCTACAACTGTGAAAATTTAAATTGATACAAATATAAAAATTATTAAAACCCGTAAGTCTGCAAAACTCTTAAAATTTCAATAGATAAAAATAGAAAAAATGATTAAAAATAAACATTGATATTACCCATCAAATTTATTTTAAAAAAATTGAATTCTGCCAAATCTAACCCTGGCTCGGCTGTCCACCTCCCCATGCTGGCCAGCCACTAAGAGGAGAACACACTGTAACATCTTTAATGATGGCACAGGCTCTTGCTCTCCCTGGAACTTCAGGAGGGACTATGCATCCTGTACCTACCCCTCAGAAGTTCAGTCTGCACCACCTCGTGTTCAAATCTGTGCATAGCTGAGCTATCAGTGAGGACCTCAAAAGCTCTCTCCATTCTGAAGGGGGATAATTAGGTTAGATGGGGTGCGTTTCTACCGTGAAACATAACACTGCTGTTGTGTCTCAGTAATTGCATCTAGTTTTTCTTTTGCTCTCTCAACACCAATATCAAGCTTTTGAAGAAAATCAATTATCATGATTTATTTTCTTTCTTGCAGATGGTTTTACTGTCACTGTACATGTTGATCCTGCAATTGCCTTGGTTGGACAAGGTGTGATGTTGTCCTGCCAGCCCGTAGGCCACAACCCCGCTAACATTCAAGTGCATTGGTATAAATGGGAAAGGAGCAAAAATATGACGTTATATTTTTACAATAGCACAGAAAATGGAACTGAGCTGGGCCGGGCTGGGGACCAGCAAAGGAGTGATGCTCCCAAAGGACGATATGAGAATGGAGTCGTTAGGGTGAAACTCTTTCCAGTGCAAGTAGAAGATAGTGGGCAGTATGTGTGTGCGGTGACAAACGATGGTGTCTATCAAGAAGCTATCACCCAGGTGATTGTTGCAGGTAAGCATGGATATGTTCTTACAGAAGTGTTGCTGGCAGTGAACAATCCTGCACTTATCACAGTGGCACTGATTCTCCATTGCATTGCTCAGTGTGTGGGCAGCTGTATTTCCATTTAATCCTTTCCTCCCAACAGGGAGGGTTCAACGGCTGGCAAGGGAAGGAGAAACAGCATCTGTTGTAGATGAACATCCATTTGTGTGCAGTGTTATGGGAGGTGGGCTGAGGAAGTGATGGACTGGGAAGGAGGCGGAGAGAAGTGCAGGACTGGGAGTCAGGGAAGCTTCAGCAGTTTGGTGTCCATCTTGTATAGTATATGCAAATTATACACGCTGAATTCACACAACATGAATACATCGTGTACATTTTTCTCTGGCTTTTTGCTAGTGGCATGTGCAATCCTCATCCGCCTGCATTGTGTGTGCTGCTGTTGCACAACAGCAATAAAATGAATTAAGCACAGGGGCAAAGCTGGGCCTTTACCTCCTGTTACACACACATATACATCCAGGCAGTACATTTCAGAGTCCTGTGGACTGTGAGGTCACTGTCCACCTGTGATTTGTACACACTTCCCCTGATTCTCAGTTACACTAAGGCCCTTTTACGTGGAAATGAACCATTGATATTACCCCTTGTACAGAGAAGGTTCTCCTTGGCCAGCATAGAGCTGATGTAAGGGCTTTGTAGTGGCCTTGCTTCCAGACGTGGTGTAAGGGGCGTATCAAAGTTATGGGAAAGAGGGATCAGGATAAGTGCTGGTAGGGGTATGGCTGGAGCACACTGTGCTTTGGCTATGCTCTGCTTCCCAGGGCTCATAGGGGACCATGGGAAGCAAAGTGTAAGTTAGAATAGCCCTAAGGCTTCTCCGACTTACAATGGACCCTAGCGGGGCCCCTGAATTAACCCAAAATATGGGGAGCACAAAGGTGGATCTCCCCTTTTCTGAAAATATTGTTTCCTTACTGACCTGCTACCATTCCAAAAGTGAAGTGTCACATACATACAATGTAGTCATGTCTACATACAGTTTGGGATCAGCTTGTGAAGTGTTTGGTGATCTCTTGAGGTGGACATCTCTCTGTATGAATTTAAGATACTTGGAAATGCAAAATTATAGTTCAGTGTAGATTCAATAGGACATGGCGACTGCAATGATAGTGGTGATCATTCATCATTAGCACTCTTAGTTTGGTTTGTTAGCTAGTTCTTCAGCCTGTTTAACATTTTCTGAAATTGGTTTTCACTCTAGGTTTTGGATCTGCACCTCGCCTAACTATAGACCATCAGCAGAATAATTCAATCACTCTGAGGTGTACGTCCCAAGGGTGGTATCCACAACCTGAAGTATGCTGGACTGACAGCACAGGACAAAATATAACTGCTATGGCTGAAACAAGAATCCAAAAAGATGTGACAGATCTGTATCAAATCCACAGTACGCTCAGGGTAGCAGATATTGCTTCTGACACTATCTTATGCACTATAAGAAACCCCTTGCTGAAGAGGCACCACAAAAAAGTTATTGCAATTTCAGGTAAGAGATGTAGTACTGTCAAAGCAAATATTCCTGCTCTTTCTTACAAAATCAGGCTAAACTCATCTGCCTTGTGGCCAACCATGTTATTCAAGGCTTGCGTACATGGAGCACCAACATGCATTATTGGGGTGTGATTTCTAAAGTGCATTAATGGGTTGCACATGAATTAGTCCATGTAGACACTCAGCTGGTGCTCACTAAAGTTTCCCTGGTGTGCTTTACTGTATTATTGTTTGAAACAGTAATATGGTAAAGCACACTAGGGAACTTTTAGTGTGCATCATCAAGGTCTACACAGACCAATTAATGCACAACACATTGGTGCACTTTATTAATCATATTTCCTTAGTGCCCATTACCCCACTGTGTAGACAAGCCTTTGGTGCAGCATAGTGAAGACCTGTACAACTCAGCATTTCTTTTCAAATACTATCCTTAAGATCACCACAGATGTAAAAGATAGTAGAGCTCTGATTCTCTTTTCATTTATCTGTGTGTATATTAGGAGTGACTCCTAATATACCTAGTGAGGAGGGCTTTAAATTAGGTTCACCGGGGAAGGAGACCAAAGCCCTGAGGTAAGTGGGGAAGTGAGATACTGGGAGGAAGCACGAGCAGTAGAGCGCAAGAGGGGAAGACTCCTGCCTCGTACCGAGAAAGCAGGATGATCAGCGAGTTATCTTAAGTGTCTATACACAAATGCAAGAAGCCTGGGAAACAAGCAGGGAGAACTGGAAGTCCTGGCACAGTCGAGGAACTATGATGTGATTGGAATAACAGAGAGTTGGTGGGATAACTCACATGACTGGAGTACTGTCATGGATGGATATAAACTGTTCAGGAAGGACAGGCAGGGCAGAAAAGGTGGGGGAGTTGCATTGTATGTAAGAGAGGAGTATGACTGCTCAGAGCTCCGGTATGAAACTGCAGAAAAACCTGAGAGTCTCTGAATTAAGTTTAGAAGTGTGAGCAACAAGGGTGATGTCGTGGTGGGAGTCTGCTATAGACCACCAGACCAGGGGGATGAGGTGGACGAGGCTTTCATCCGGCAACTAACAAAAGTTACTAGATCGCAGGCCCTGGTTCTCATGGGAGACTTCAATCATTCTGATATCTGCTGGGAGAGCAATACAGCGGTGCACAGACAATTCAAGAAGTTTTTGGAAAGTGTAGGGGACAATTTCCTGGTGCAAGTGCTGGAGGAACCAACTAGGGGCAGAGCTTTTCTTGACCTGCTGCTCACAAACCGGGAAGAATTAGTAGGGGAAGCAAAAGTGGATGGGAACCTGGGAGGCAGTGACCATGAGATGGTCGAGTTCAGGATCCTGACACAAGGAAGAAAGGAGAGCAGCAGAATATGGACCCTGGACTTCAGAAAAGCAGACTTTGACTCCCTCAGGGAACTGATGGGCGGGATCACCTGGGAGAATAACATGAGGGGGAAAGGAATCCAGGAGAGCTGGCTGTATTTTAAAGAATCCTTTTTGAGGTTACAGGAACAAACCATCCCGATGTGTAGAAAGAATAGTAAATATGGCAGGCGACCACCTTGGCTTAACAGTGAAATCCTTGCTGATCTTAAACGCAAAAAAGAAGCTTACAAGAAGTGGAAGATTGGACAAATGACCAGGGAAGAGTATAAAAATATTGCTCAGACATGCAGGAGTGAAATCAGGAAGGCCAAA